TGTGGGGGACCGTGTCAAAGGCCTTACAGAGGTCCAGATAGACGACATCTGTAGCCCTTCCCGTGTCCACTGATGTAGTCACTCCATCATAGAAGGCCACTAGGTTAGTCAGGCAGGACTTGCCCTTGGTAAAGCCATGCTGGCTGTCTTGAATCACCTTCCTGTCCTCCATGTGCCTTAGCATAGCTTCCAGGAGGATCTGTTCCAGGATCTTCCCAGGCACAGACATGAGACTGACTGGCCTATGGTTCCCCAGGTCTTCCTTTTTTCCCTTTTTAAAAATGGGGGTTGTGTCTCCCCTCTTCCAGTCAGTGGGAACTTCACTGGACAATTGAAATTTCTCATCTGTAGTCTCAGGCTAGACGTTCTTCTCAAGCTAATCTCAGATGTATAAATTACAAACTTAAATGCGTTTAAAAATGAGTTTGATTAAAAGCAGGGGGAAATTAACTTGTGTAATTCTGGAATGAGGCTATTACATGACAAATAAAAAACAAATCTGGAACCTGTGCTACAACTAGGTTTTGTTAGAAGAATTATCCCTTGTGTGATTTTTTGCAATGTTGGGGTGGTGTTATTTTAAGATATTTTACTCTGATAATAGGCATCTCCAAAACCTTTACAACGGAGCCGGAAAAGAGCTGTTCTGTTAAATAATCCACATAGTTTTAAATTAAATGAGCTGCCTGTATTGGAAAAAAAAACAGATTAGACATCCTCCTCTATATTTCCTCACAGAGTGCACCTAAGCCTGTTGTTGAAAAACATTACATACTCATTTTAAGATGTACTGCAATCATAAAAGAATCTAATACATACTTTCACAGAAAAATCTTATGCTATAAAGCTAGCCACTAATTTCTTAGTCAAAAAATCTGGTGCACTGGACAGTGAGACTGTACTCTTTCCACTTACAGAAAGTTACTGTTATCACCTCAGAGCTTCAAAACTAAGGTCTGCAAAATGCTCCTGCACTAATTTCCTTTTATAAGCTTACAAAGAAGTGACCTTCCATTTATAGTTCCTCAGCTGGAAAGATTACTTTCCCTGCAATGTAGTGTTTTGCAAGATGTAGTATTTGCAAACACTGAGATCCACAGGCATTACTCCTATTCCACAAACTACATGCCAAATAAGAAGTTAATACTGGAGTTAGTACAGATGTTTCACAAGTATTTTGCGCTGCAAGTCACCTGCAGAAGAACCAATGCTTCCAAACAGATTGACTCAGGCTAACTCTAGTAATTAATCCTAGAATAGGCAGACAGATAGGACACGATGCCATCCACAGCTTTGGCTTTTCATTCAACGCATTTTTGGAGGAATGCAAGATGCATTCGTCCAGCCGTCCCATCTCTCTACAGGTGAGTCTCTAATCAGCTGACAAGAAGGAAGACTGGCTTTAATGAATCACACCATAGTGATGTGAAAGGTTATACAATCGCTTTAGCAAGCAGTATTACTACCAGAAGACTTAGAACTAAAATACCATTCCTGCCTTTCTCAAGGGCAAGGTATAGCCTTTTGAATCAGAACATTTACTAGACTTACATTATCTAGAATGCTCAGAAAGCATTACTTCCTAACTGATCAACTGGATTCTTCAGCAGAAACTGCCGCCTTCACCAGATATGCAGGCAGCATCCACACTGTCATGTTCAACCAACTATGAATCGTGTTATAAAATGTGATACTGGTTCCAAAACAGTATCTGTGGATGCCTGCATTGGGTCTGAGGACAAAAAACTGTAAGTAGCCTTGGACAAAATATCCTAGGGCAGCCTTAGCAGCCTGGGAAAATCCTAGAGCAGCCAGTCAGATCTAGGAAAGCAGGAAGAGACGTAGCTACAGTTTCAAACCTTCCAAGAGGTAAGATGTTTGACTAAATGGGGCCTGTGCTTCCTGCCCCCCCTCCACCGGCTTTCTCCTCAAAAAAAAAAAAAAAAAAAGTCTGTACTTCTCTACCACAGCAGACAATTAGTATAGGGCTAGAATATTTTGTTGTCAACCACGATCTGAAACGATATTTGGGGGTGGGGTGGGGAAATTGTCTAAACGCTGAGAGTGGGATCTATCTCACCCAGCTTTAAATGTCTGCAATGTAGACACCTAAGCTAATCAGCCAGATTTCCTTAACAGTCAGCAGAAGAAATAGACACTTTGAAGCATGATTTGTCTCATCTTAAAATAGACACAAAATCACGTCAGATGAGTTTGTGATGAGACTCATGAGATTAACATCTGACCTAGTCATCTAAAGCCAGGTGAAATGAAGCCCCATCTTATGACTGTAGATACTCTATTTGTCCATACAATGTCTGTATGGGAGTACATTAACCCTTGTCACATGAATTCTTGCAAGTGGGCTCAAGCGTACTGACACAACCATCTCTCAATTTACCCCCATTTAGGCCTACTGTCATGATTGATCTTATCATTGAGTATGCATCTCAACATCTAACTGCAAATATTCACTTTCTCATTGCAAATCAAGAAGCACAAATTACGTATTTTGTTTCTAATGAGATGAAAGATGATTCACTTTAGTTATTGGTAACTTACAGCTAACAGCAAAGAAAAGTAGGACTTTATTTAGACCTGCTCTTGGTAAGCCGGTAATCCAAGCCTGCGTAGACCTAGGGTTCCTATTACCTTAGGCATGTTGCTGTTATTACCAGATGGGTTCCCATTATCTTAGACATATTTGCTACTGTTGCCAGATACTTTGTATATGTTCAGTTGTGCCCACAGAGTGTGGAGGTCTGCTCCTTATATTGATAAATTTGAAACAAGATCCCAGCCATTAAGAGATTTGAATCTATCCACTTGTTCATGGGGTGAATGATGATACAGATTAAAGAAAACAGGTTTGACAGACAAATTTTCGTATTTGTAGAATTTTCTTAGATATAGCACAGAACAAACATCCCTTTACTTTCAGAATGAAGAAGTATCTGAGAGGTGGCAGCTTTTCATATGTGAAAGGCTCTTTGGAAAATACTTTCTGAAGAAGGGTGGACAGGAAAACCAGAAGAAAGTGCATGGTTTGCTGCAAACAATAATACCCAGCACATGTTTGCCTGTGATAATGTTGTTATACAGAACAAAATTGGAAAATGACTTTCAGGAGAAGCACATCGGGAGTTTCTCCAGTAAGGAGTCTAATTGTCTAGTATGCTTACATGTTGAAGCCATAATGGATGTGATCAAAACTGAAAAAACCCAGACACATTAATAGCTTTTACAGCAGGATTCAGCAGCCTACAGTAACTGTATTTTATGGTTCTTTAACCAAGCCCAAAAATCGCACTGAAGGCTTTAGGTTAACAAAATGATGCAACTCTTCCCACACAGCAACCACAACTCCACACTTCTCTTAAGGCCCTAGAACTAGTGGCACCATGGGCTGCCACTGCTGCAGCTTTCATCCATCTTTCTGTCGTTTCTGGTGTCACACTCTGCTCTTCTGCAAGAGTTTGGCAAAAGCACCATGTTCCCCAGATCTGAATTTATTTGGTTATTCAAAAGGCTACGACTCCTTCCTGAAGATGTTAACTTGCTGGAGTGTGTCTTTTATTTTCCAGAGTATTCTTGGACAGAATTCCTTGGGACAACTGAATGTTTTGAGCTTAAGGAAGACAGGCTTGAATAAAAGTATTTCATATCAGGATTTTAAGAAATTCCTCAAAAAAAAAAAAAAAGGATTTGGCAATGAGTACTTCCCTGGACTAGAAAAAGAGTTCTTAGGAGACAAGGAAGTATAATACATTTAGGCTTGCAAGTTCAGGTTCATTTTGGATTACGGCATCAACAGTGGTGTGGTATGCAACAGAAAGGCTTCTCCCACATTCATGTGAAAAGCAGCTCTACTGGCTAGAAGGGCATCTCTAAAAAGGAGGCATCCAGCCTGTCTGTGAGTTTAATAGATATCCTGCTCCCAGTGCAGCAAGATCATAGCTCTAAGGATTCTTTAGTCTCTTGATAACACAATATACATCCTTTAAGAGCAAAAACTTTGCTTGACTTCAGAGAAATAAGAGGTATGAGCTGCTAATGATGGCACAGCAATTTTTTCCGTCAAGTTAACAGTAATGCAAAACTCTTATTTGTACCAAGGATTCTTCCAACACAGGTGTGTCACATTCCTTCAGGGCAGGAACTGACACCAGGAGAAATGTTTCCAGTACTGAATATCGTAAGGTTGAAATCTTGTGCCCTGAAGTATGTCATATATTTTAACTCATTCACACAAAACAAAGCTTGAAGGGCTTATCTTTTGATAGGATCTTGCAAAAGGACACTGACTTCACCTTCAAATCACGTTGTGCTTTTTCAGTTCACCTTTGGCAGCTGAGACTGACAGGTTTACCGTTATATAGATAACACCAATGGTCCACACAATTTCCTTGTTCTTACATATTTCTCTGCCAACATACAGAAGACAATGCATGATTTGCATTGTGCATATCATATTGGAGAGTGAAAAACTCTGATGAGAATCCCGGAACAATCAATCAGTATAGTTTTCTTCGAAGGACTGAAATTGAGTCTTGCAAGGCTGGACTTCAAAGTTGAAGAGTTAAAGGCAATTTGAGCATATGCTGTATACATTGGTTCATCCAAGTTAACAAATGTGTTGATTGAAAGGAAAATGTCTATTTTAAGACTGAAAAACTACAGGTTTGAAGATTTGCTAATCTGCCATTGTGAATGCCTTGAAGGGGCAGGCTCTTTAGGATAACTGTGATGACAGGCTACAATCAAGATGGAAATTGCCAAGTCCGAAATGTTGACTTTAGGACACTAAAGAACACCCTGAAGAATTTTAAATACTAGACACTACTGATTATATCAACTGGAGTGCTAGACATTTAAGTTTTATCCATAAAGATAAAAAGAAAAGAAGGAAACAAAAGATTTGGACCAATCCTGTCTTCTATGCTCTCTTACAGAGCACAACGGGACTACAGTCACCTACCTACTCCAAGAAGACAAAAAGCTCATTTTTAGGGCAAAGAGCCCATGAGACACTTGAACACATTCAACACATATTTATCCACCCTTGGTGATTTAAATCCTAAAATAATTTGAATTATAAACCCTGCATGTGCGGCCACTTCAAAACCAGATCTTTTCTATTCTTGCAAGTCGACAGCCAGGGTTTTAAGACTGGGCACCCCGTCCACTGTACTGCACTCAAATCTATGCCACGGTGGCTGACCTACACAAGAAAGGAATCCTGGTTATGAGCAGACCTCCCTACCAAATGCCTTGTTGTGCAATTCCAACGCTCTTCGGAATTAAGCTTACCTCACTCATCTAAAATAAGCCAGCAATTCCTCAGGAGCAGACAGCAATTGAGTCATTCAAAAGCAACAGCCCCAGACTGCTCTCTGCAGTAATCCTTCAATGAGGGGTTGAGCCACTTCCCTTGCAAAGCAACACCTTCAGATGCAATGCAACAAGTTTATTTTCAGGCATATCTAAACTTGTTTTTATCTGGTGCAGTTCACAATAGATGGGCTCCAGTGCTGGGAACAAGAGCCCAAGGGAAAAACCAAATGGATGACAGTAAGACGACTGCTGATATCCCTAGGTTCAAATGGAGATCAACTGTTTCACTTTCTAGACTGCAGGAAGCTGGTAGTATTATCAACTTGACACCAATACCTTGTATCACTCCTCCAAAACAGAAATAATACATAAACCTATTATTAAAAAAAAAAAAAAAAAAAAAAAAAATCACTATGTATGTCAAATCATAAGTATGCTAAAGGTGTAACTGAAATCTGAGACAGTATCAAAATGTGTTTAAATTATTGTTTAATAAGTGTTAAATGTAATTTAGTGTGAAAATTCTCATCGTGCATCTAGGAAAAGCCATTTATTTCTAGGCCAACATTTACCTCTTTTTGGAGCTGCGCTCTCGGCTTCTCTCCCTGGAACTATGCCTGCTTCTATGATGGCTGCGACTCCGGCTGCGGCTGTTAGAGCGAGACCTGTGACGATGGCGTTTCTCACGGGATTTAGAGCGAGTTCTTCTCTTTCGTTCCCGGGAGGCTGAGCGAGACCGATGCCTGCGGCGATCTCGGGACCTAGATCTAGGAACAGAAAGGACTTAAACCAGACACTGCATTCACCTAGCTACTCTATCAGTGTACTTTGAATATTATGCACGCTATGCATAAGCAAATCTGTATAGAGAATGGTCTGCAGTGTTCAGAGCTATTGCATTGTCCTATCACAGGCAAACAGAGAGGGGAAAGCAACATTAGAAATCCTACAAACTCCTTTGTGACTAATGCAGACAATTTTACGGTTAATTTATGACTGTATGTATGGTTATAGCATAGCCAATTCAGGCTTCTGAAAGGAATTTAAAATATGGAGAAAAAAAAATCTGCTTTTTAAAATTTTAAAATCTTGTCTTTATCAGGCAGAGTTATAGAACTTCGTGATGCAGTGATAGGAATCATCTGCCAGAACCTATGTATTATGATGTTCTGAGAAAACAGGACTATATCCTTCCCCATAGCTACTACAATAAAACTAGTCTGGAAGGTTCTAAACACCATACAAAGTCATGATTTTCTTTCCTTTTTTTTTTTTTTTTTTTTTTTTTTTTTTT